ATGGAACCTTGTAGTACAATTTCAGAAATATCCAAACACTTACACACAAGTTATTGTCATGAAACTAGAAAAATGCTTGTTTTTTGCCCCTTTTTTGGCCCCTAATTCCTAAAATTTTGAGGCAATTACCCCCTAAATCAATTACAGCCTTCCCTTTGTGATATGGAACCTTGTGGTACAATGTCAGAGAGATCCATACACTTACACACAAGTTATTGTCTGGAAGTTACAAAAATGCTTATTTTTGGCCCCTTTTTGGCCCCTAATTCCTTAACTGTTGGTACCATAACCCCCAAAATCAATCCCCACCTTCCTTTCGTGGTATTGAACCTTATGATAAAATTTCATGGAGATCCATTCACTTAAACTAAAGTTAGAGTGCGAAAACCAATGTGTCTTCGGACGACGCCGGACGACGACGACGACGACGCCAACGTCATACCAATATACGACCAAAAAATTTTCAATTTTTGCGGTCGTATAAAAATGCTTATTTTTGGTCCCTAATTCCTTAACTGTTGGTACCATAACCCCCAAAATCAATCCCAACCTTCCTTTTGTGGTATCAAACCTTATGGTAAAATTTCATAGAGATCCATTCACTTGAACTAAAGTTATTGTGCGAAAACCAATGTGTCTTCGGACGAAGACGACGACGCCAACTTCATACCAATATACGACCGCAAAATTTTTTAATTTTTTGCGGTAGTATAAAAATGAAAGTGAAAAACTGATTGTTTGCGTGAATGTAGCTCTGCAAAATTAAAACAACTTAAGTTATTTTTTCTGAACAGAATATATATTGAACTTGATCTGTGAACTTGTCATAATGTATACATATCTAAATATTATTGTTTATAATAATATTGTTTGTTTGCTATATGCCCTTCTGGGGCCCTAATTTGGTGAATAAAAATATTCTATTCTATTCTATATATAAGGGCGAGGGTTTGGATTACCCTAACATGTTTAACCCCGCCACATTCTGTATATATGTGCCGGTCCCAAGTCAGGAGCCTGTAATATTAATTCAGTGGTTGTCCTTTGTTGCTTTGTTACATATATATTTGTTTTTAGCGTTCATTTTTTATACATTAATTATGCCATTAGTTTTCTTGTTTGAATGTTTTACATTTGTGATTTTGGGGCCTTTTATAGCTGGGTTTGTGGTATGGGCTTTGCTCATTGTTGAAGGCCATACGCAACTATTATCAGCACCCGCTTTGCGCATGCGTCAAATTTGACCACAATCGATATCGATAAATTTACTATAGATTGTTAAAGGAAATCTTAAATTTTGATTAGCTGTCTGTAAATATCATTAAATTTCTTTTTCATTGGCATCAATTTTGAAAGTTCAATTTATAAGCTTTCTACAGATCTAATTTGTATTTTGATAAGGATTGCAGAAGTTAGGGCCTTTTTCAATTAAAGAACACCGGGTGCACGACCTATTACATTGTACTTCATACAATACGAAACCAAAAATGTGTGCACATGGGTTTTCTTTAATGAATTGACATAAAATCTTTATTAGAAACAGCTTCATTCGCATGTATATTTATTCTCTGGTTTTAAATCTATCCAACGATATAAATTTCATATTTTACAATTTTTTTTGAATCAGGGCCTTTTTTATTCAAAAATCGAGATGCGATCATTTTTTGAAGTTGACCAGAAATAATCTAAGTCAAACCAGGTAAATATAATATTCATGGATAAATAATTAACACATGACAATGTGATAACTTCTGTTATTCTCAGTAGACATGAGTTGTTTGTGTTTTTTTTTCTTTGACGGTTTAACAATGTTTAATAGCCTCTTTCTTTTCAAGTTTACTTTATAAATTGTAAATTTCAATGCACAAAAGTTTCAAATGAGAAAAAAAAAATATTCTCCAAGATAAACCAATTGCCAAAGTCTTAAAAGAATAAGACAAGGGCAGCATATGTGCCAGTGTGGACTATATACGAAAATATTTGTATGTAGTAATGCTAATTTAAAGATTACAAAACGACAATCGCTTAAAATTGAAATAAATTGAACTAAAATATTTTAACAGTTTAAGGAAGATGGGGTGTCTAAATTATAATCCATAGAATTTTTTTTAATAATTTGCCAAAATGTAGTTTATATCGTGCTTTTTAAAAAAAAATAATAAAAAGAATGGGACACGGGGCTTATTTTCACGCTACAGGTTGTGCAAAATTGACAGATTTTGTAATGATTATGCATGGAAAACCCAATTTTCTGCCATAAAACGAAAACTACACCATAGAATTTTGAGATAAAATATGTGAAGATAGCTCTAATAGTATGCTTTCAGATAAGAAAAATAAAAAATGGGGTCATGGGACCCGTTTTCTTGCTACATAATAAAATAGGTAAATTCCTAACACATTCTATTGTAAAAGTAACTTTATCTGAATTATCTGCCCTTACATTTGAGTTGCCTCCCCTTATATGGCAAAGTTGGAAAAAATAGAATCAAACAAAAGTATTCTGTTTTTTTGTAAAATACAACCATAAATATGATAAAATAGGTCATTTTCTATATTGAAATGAAAATTCTTGCACATGAATTACCTACTACTCTCAAAATTTGCACCTTTTATTAAAGATCTAGACCGATTGTTTTCTGGTATTTCAAAATTCAAGATGGAGGAAGACACCCTATCTACCTTAAGAAACAAAATTTTAGATACATACATGTACATGTGAGTTTACTAGTCTATTGCTTGTTTGATGCACATTCTCCTTCTATACACTTAACTTTTAGAAAAATAAATCGCATTGAACAAAATAAATATTATTTTTATTTGTCTCCGTCCTTTCAAAAGATTCTATCATGAAAAAAATTTTAATTTTGCAATTGAACATTTATGTAAAATATTTATTAAAAAGGAAACTTATTTTAATTATTTTTCTGTTAATGTAAAGTTTACGGAGAGCTGTCTCATTGGCACTCATACCACATCTTCTTACATTTACAAAATTTATAAAAAAAAAAAATGTATATTGTACATTTTTTGTACATGTATTTGCAGAATTTGAAATTTTTAATTTATCAAATGAATAAGATAATTGGAATCGTTAAAATTCAGAATTATACTTGAAAACAGATGCCTGCGACCCCTGTTGTTTCGATTAGCATGTTTTCTAAAGATATCCGTGTGAAGTTCACAAATTTCAACATGTATTTGGTCACCTGGTGTGAATTTCAGATAAAATTGTCAAGTTCAAATCTGTGGTTAAAACTTTCCTTTACATATCAGTTATATTATTATCTGGGCAGGGTACTCCCCCCCCCCCTTTTTTTTATATTATACTCTGAACATTATTGTATACACTTTTTCTGTGGGACTTTCTTTATGTAAAACAAGATAAAAATCTACGTTGTCTCATATTCGGATTTACGTCGAAAGAAAGGTTTAAGATATATCAAAATCGAACAACATCGTGTGAACATTTCTATTGATGACTATAGTGAATCATTTTTCGATTATGTATTTTGTTATTACATGAATTACATCTATCCATATTTTGATTGTCAACTCATTGCATAGCCATACTTCTCTAAAAATGATGTTACTGAAATCAAGAATATTATATCTAATATAATATAACCTCACAATTACAACCCTCTTGCTTTTGAAATTGTTAAAGAACAATTTTAATTTTATGTAAGTGCTTTTATAAACTATAACAAGCCAACGATTTAATGATAGATATATATACATGTATATATGTTTGGTTATCATAATCTCGTATTTGTCCTTTTTCGACTTTTTATTTTGTATGTTTGATATTCGGTAAAATAGAATTTTATCTTTTGGAAATAAAGTCAGTTTATACAACTCGTATTCATGTGGAACCTAGCATGCTACAATGTCATATGGTTATAATATTGTTTACTTAGTGTTGTCAAATTATTAACGAGTGTCAACATTGTCTTTACAAACTCAGCATGTTGTCTTGATAAGATATCACACACAGAAAAGACTGATCAGACGGATAAGAAATTAAAATCATGCGCGATAACTTGTACTGGCTTACACTGAGGATAATAGTTGGCCATGCTGTACAGTGACCTGTAGCATTCTCATTGGCAATCATTCCACATCTTCTTTTTTATACTGTATCGTTTTGTTGTCATTATTGATTTATACCATTTGTAGTTTTCTGTAATCTAAATATGCTGGAATAAAAAAAATTGACACAATTCAAGTCAATTGATATGACGTTAAATCTAATGTCAAAGTGAGGTACAGCCACGTGACCAGTATTAGAGTGTACATTTTGTACAACAGATTAGGTACATTGTATTTGATCTGGCTTTCAGTTACTGCTAGCAAGTCCGGAAACTTGTCAGTGATTGTCTTGTGTCATGTATGTGATAACTGCAAGTCAGCCAAGTGTTTGTTATCTATATAACTTTTGAGTTAATCATAGATAAGATAGTAATACGTATGATTTGAATCATATACAAATAAAAAAAGAAGTGACAAATTTATACTGTATAAGACTCAGTCAGAATTTGACATATCCATCTCCATTATTCATAAATATTTTTTGATCTGCCATTATCTGGGAAGTTGCGACACTTAAAGAATTCGATATGAGAAACTAAATCATGAATGCGTCTTAAAAGATTTAAGTATCCATATGAACATTGAAAAATTATAAGCAGGTAATGAACTAATAAGTTGGTAGTTTAACTTTAGTTTGTTCAAATTGTTAAAAAAAATCGATAGCTTAAGACCCCTTGACTTCGTGAATAACAGAATGCAAGCTACGTTACTGTATACAAATAATAAAATAACTTACAATTCAACTGGAATTTGAAATTAGATGCGTTAGGTCCTATGGGGCGAACGTGTATAAAAATTATTTGGGAGCGAACGAAAACGATACCAAAATCGAAGATGAAAACCATTCTCATTCAGTCATTGCAGATTTCTGTTTATTCCTGCACTATTAAATCATTTGTTTGAGTTACCTGTAGTACATCCTCGAGTATTCATTGATTCATAGCTCCTTGGTATTGTTTGTCTTGTTAAATTAACTGAAACAAGTACTGTTGTTGACAATCGGCTGACGGCGTTCTTCTCTTTAAGACGCGTCATAATCTGTATCTTTCAAGCGTTTTAAAAAAACCCGACTCCGGACGAGAGATTCACGGATATTGTCCTGATCTGATGTTCAAAGTATTTCTCCATGTGAAAAGTGAAAAATAGGTACCTGCTAGTTCCCCCATTCCTACTATACAAATCCTTGGAACATATAACAAATTATTTTGTTAATAAGCATCCTTTACATAGGAGCACCTCCACATGGAGCTGTTAGTTAATTAAACCCTTACAGCTATTTAATATATATATTTATAAAATCTGGGACTATTATACTAACTTAGTATAATAGTCCCAGATAAAATATAATAAATATAATTTCAATTATGACTGTGATTTCATTGTGTAAAAGAATATATATATATATATCTATACAAAAGTAAAATGTTTAACCTTAATTCAATGAGCAAGCCTTGTCTAATTGGCAATCATTTACCACACATTTATTAAAGCTTAAAGAATGTAAGTTTTTTTTAATAATAAAGTGTAAATGTAACCAAGGAATTTTATATTTAAATATACAATTCCTTGATGTAACCATTCATTTTTTCTGAATAAAAACATTAATCTATAAAGAATACAGGGACGTAAAATTGTTTTGTAATTTTAAAATGTGTCCCAGTGCAACAATTGATCATGCAATCTTTCAATTTCAAAGATTATAAACAAAATTTGCTTCTTGTATAGATGTCATGTTATAAAAAGCAATACAAAAAATTTTATACTGCACTTTCAATATACTTAAAAAATTGATAAACATTCAAATTTACATTTATTGACAAAATTTAGTACATATAAAATTCTTTTCTGTATTCTTACTAGTTTTTATTCATATATGTCCTAATGTTAAACTTATGTGCGATTCAATGCTCACAAATTTTCTTGACTTATAAGTTTGAGGAAAAGTTTTATGCACAGTAAAAAAGGGAGATAACTCATGTTTGGAAGTTAATGATATATATATGATATATATTATCCTTTTTTTCTTTGCAATAATGGGAAGTAAAGAATCTATTACAGTAACAGTAATCTATTTCATAAGTTGGAGTTACCTCCCACATTTTTTAAAAGTATAAAAGTAAAGAAGACATAAGATGTGTGAAAGTAATTAAATTTACTACTTAATAATTATAGAAATATTACTAGTAAATCAAATTAGTCCATCAATATAATATAGGCATCTAGGAATTTGAAATAAGAGATACACATGTATACAAAATTCCATCCTAATGACTCTACTAGAGATAAATATAAACAGTGATAGAAAATATAATTCAAAACCAACATGTTTTTGTAGTTGCATCTAACCCACTATCAAGGGAGATAATTCATGCTTAACAAAAAGATAAATATTTATCATTTACAATGATTGTATGTCCAAATGTGTAAATCTTGAGAGACAAAGAATAACAGTTTTTAAAATGATTCAATTTTGCAAAAAGAAAATTGGAATGAATAATAGCAAAATTCAGGTGAATTTGTTTCTCATGTTACAAAAATTTAACTCAGTAAAGTTAAATTTCTCTTATGAATTCATGGTTTAATTCAGATAAAATGAAACATAACATTTTCACATGAGTTTTGATTCATGTTAATTTCATGTGAAATTGTTCACGTGAATTTAACGTGAAATTTTTCATGTGAATATATCATGAAATATTCACATGAATTTAACGTGAAATATTCACGTGAATTTCACGTGAAATACTCACGTGAAATACTCACATGAATTTCACGTGAAATATTCACGTGAATTTCACGTGAAAATAGAATTTTTCAAATTAAATTAAGATTTCCATGGAATATATGATACATATAATACAAGATATTAGAGGTTGACAAAATGTTTGATTTTCGGTTATTTTTTTTTAACTTAGACACCATTTATATTTTTTCACGTGAAATTCACATGAAATGTTTTACGTGAAATTCACGTGAAATAATTTCACGTGAAAATTTAACGTGAATTTCACGTGAAATCACTTCACGTGAAATTAACGTGAAATTCATGTGAAATTCATGTGAAATTCATGTGAAATTCACGTGAAATGAGATTCACGTGAAATTCACGTGAGCAAAATTTGGCTGTGTAGATAACAAGGGATATCCAAACTCATACGTCGAAAACGAACTGACAATGTCAGGGCCAAAACCAAAAAAAAAAGGAAAAAAAAAAACAGTATACAAAACACAACGTACTCAGTCCTGTATTTTAGCACAACACAAGGGCATGTTTTTTTCTGACTGTTAACTAAATCCATTGGGGGATGGGTGTCTACTGATTGATATAGTTTGTATAATAATAGATGAACGCCGATAGACGTTTCTTAAGAGAGTTGATTCTGTGTTGCTGTTTATGAGAATATTGTCTGTATCAACATTTTATTAACTACTAACAAGGGAACAGTTCTTTGTTCACCTATTATTTTATGATATCCTCTTTACACAACAACCATGCACTTTAATGAGCCATTTATAATCAGTATTTAGGCATTAGGAATAACAGCTTTAGGAAATCGGTTTCATATTTATTTGATTAAAGTGTTTCTGTCAGTAAACATGAAAAGTGACTTTTTCATGAAACGAATAAACTGTATCGGGAAGAAAAGACGTATTCCGTCGAAATTTCCTTTAGTGTATTGGTTTAAACACAAAAGTATAGGAGTCCACAAAATATGTATATGCTTCTGCATAGAGTTATACAGAAAAGGGGAATATCATTGATATTGACTTGGTTCATTAGTCATTGTTGAACAAATGTTGCGTATTGAGAATTGTGGTTTACTTTCAGGGTCATCATTATCAATGCTGTATATTAATAATCTAATAAGATAATTACTCAACCTGATAGATGAACTTACTTTGTCTTGCTTTGTAGTACTTTTATGTTGATGTTGTTTATAAAACACTTCAAATAAAAAAAAAGTGTTTAAAAAAGAAAACCTCTTCACTAAAAATGATTTCTAATAACAACCACACAGGAGATGCTAGTAGTATATACATAATAATACATGGCAAAATCCGTATCGTATGCTGTATCACCACGAGAGACCAATATCAGTCCCGAGGGCTGATATTGGTCGAGTGGTGATACAGCATGCGATACGGATTTTGCCATGTATTGATCTGTTTATCATATATTTTAACAAAATCAGATCCATGATATATATTAAAGGAGACAATCATTTGATTCTGAGGTGGGGGCCTGGCAGATTTTAGAAATAATTATGCAGGCCCTCATTTAGATAAGAAAATAATAATCTTGTCTTATCACACATGAAAAATAGATATTCTAGTCCCGAATAATTTTTATTATCATTTGCAAAGGTATCTAATGTTAACAGAAAATCTGGAAAGAAGTATTATCAGTTGTTGCTTGAGGGATATGCAGTGAACGTTCCCCAAGGCTCCTTTTCACCTAAATAAATATTATTTCGTTCATGAAATCTATAAAAAAAAATGTTTTAAATTAACTCGCTTATTTTACCATTTGAGATAATGAGACTCCTCTTTTCGTGGACCCACCTTCTAAGCACAAAATCAAGTGGAGAGAGAATGTGTATTTTGATCATTTTCCAAATTTCAAGTCTGAATCAGTGTCATAAATGACTCATTTTCTCTGACAAGTATTTTTTCAGAAATTCAAACTAAATGACGTTACATTTCGTATCATGCCAGGAAATGCAGCAACTGGACGTCATAGTTCAAACTTTGACGTCATTCGACGTGTGACGTCACGCCAGGTATGCCATACGGGTTTAGCTATGCGATACGGGGTATGCGATACGGGTTTAGCCATGCGATACGGGGTATGCGATACAGGGTAGGTGATACAGACTGGAAAAAAGAACCTTTATTAGATATACAAAATTGCTGTATTTAGTACTAAATATATGATAAAACATAATAAAGCTATCACAACAGCATAAAAAGATCGGCTAGCGAAGCCGAACTTTTTAAAATTCACATTTTCCATATTTTTATGCAATTTAAAGGTAAACACAATGATTTGTTCCTGATATATTTTAGTAACTGCATTACGAATAGAGAACAAACAACCTACCTCTGTTGCTCCTGTATATAAGTCATAAAACAAGCTAAAGGTAAATATAATATAAGTTCAAAATTGACTAACCAAATGCCGAAATGTCTTTAAAGGTATATAGGTGCCTATTTGACCAGGTGCCTGTTTTAACTAGTCGCCGATTTGACCCTTTTCTATCAATGTCGAATTGACCAGGTGCCGATTCGACTTGATCCCATTTCGATCGTCCTCGAGAAATACATTTGTCGTTTTTTTTTGTTTTTTTTTCTACAATCAATGAATGAAATACTATACAATATGAAACACCATAAAACATTTTGAATAGTATCTACGATAGCATTAACGCTTCCCTTCCCCTTTGCGCATCCTGTAAAATTCCCCAATATTTTTAAACATGTCACCTGTATTTTATTTTCTTACGTATTTTTCTGATCACAACATCTATCTAGAAAAGAACATGTGAAAGGATATATAAGTGCTTGATACTTTGGCAATTGTTATTAACGATATCAGCTGTATGCCATTTGGATTAAAACGTTTATTTGGATTTCTCGTCTACTATTTCGTTCTTCCTGCATGCTGTGTGATTTCTATATCACCCAGTATCATTTTCAGGTAAGTATTGTTATTTTTTTTTTTTTTTTTTCCATATTGGATCTCCATTTTGTTTTCTTTTTTGGGTATTTTAAATAAATACTGCTTTTTGACGTAAATCTGTTTTACTTGGTTTTTTTTTTGGAGTCGTATTTCAGAATTATTTTATGTCCGAAATTATTTTCACATCAGAGTCCAACGGAAACTCCGTGACCTTGTTTTCTGAATTTTGTATGCATCTTTCTTCTAAAATGCTTTATCAAAAAAGGGAAAAAAATCTGTGTAAAACCACCACGCTTATTGACTGTATCAGTCAGTCTGTCGAAATCGATATATTTGTCAATGGGCTGAGTGGGCATACAAATAACGGGGTTTTATACTAATCGTAGCGAGGCGAATCAATTTTTTTTTTTTGCACCAATGATAATATGTACTTTAAAACTTTCATTTACTTAGAGGGCTAATAAACCTGTCTGTTGTTCCGTTGTGTGATTGTTTGGGTGGGTTGTTTTTATTTAATTCATAATACGACGTACACCCTTGATTATTGACAAAAAATATCTTTAATTTGTTTATTCAAAACCGCT